CCTGGCCAATACCCGTACGGTTGAGGTGGGATCGGGTATGGATACTGGCCGGGATACATCATTGGCTGCTGCTGGTATTGTTGACCGGGTGTTGGATATCCCGGTTGGATGTACTTCACCGGCTGTTGGGCGGCCGGGTATGTATTGGATGGATGGGGTGGCGAGAGATTGAGGTTGAGGTCCATCGTCTGACCTTGTTGCTGGGTCGCCTGGTGGTTGGATGAGCTCGCTGCATCCGCCTGGTCGTCGGCGAAGAGATTTTGTGCCCATGGATACATGGTTGAGGAGAGACCGGGTGCTCGTCAAAACGATGGCTTTGTTGCACGGGTCCCCACAGACGACGCCAAAATGATAGTGTTAATTGCCACGTAAGTGGTAATTAAGTAAATACGAGACCAATTAAAGCAAGTAAATAACTCTTATTGATCACTGTGAAGGCCCTAAGTACAATCTACTTGGTTGCTCTGAGTACCGACTGACTGCGGTTGGGATTCTCTAACAACAACCTATCGATCGTTCAAAAGTCCCCCACACTGTAGCTATCGCAGGTATTTATAGCCGCGGAGCCGGAGACACAAATCCGGCCGTTCGGCATGCCTCTCACGTAGCAACCACGTGTCGTTGTCCCGGGTGCCCTGCCTGTCAACGCGTGGAGCCGCCACGTGTCCCTCGTCAGCTCTCTCGCCAAAAGGCTACCGCTCGGTGGTCGACACTGCCGCTCGGGCAACTCCCGGTCGGACCCCGACCGGGTTCTTCACAAGAAGCCCGACTTGTTACCTGCAAAGACAAGAAGATAAAGACAAAGGCACACCGGCCGGGGTAAAGCTATGTCGGTCGGGATATTCCCTACCATTATTGATGAGAATTGTTTTTATTGTCAATTTAAATAAATTGATTTTTAACGAGACATGAATATGATATAACAATGTTAAAAGGGAAAAGTTGCAGATAAATACTTAAATAGACAAACTCAAAAAATCCTGAAGATTATACGTTGAAGGTTTATGATTGGTTATCCTGAAGATTATGCCCTAAAGGCTTATGATTGATTTATGGTTATACGCTTTTTCCTTAGCTAAGCTTTTACTCATCGGATTTTTCTTAGCCTAAGGGTGTCGTGGAAAGCCTACACTGTTCCAGTCACCCGCATCCGCTACACCTGTACAAGTGTAGCGGAAGCACTTATACAACTAATGACAACCACGTATAACACGTGTTTTGAAATACATCATGTACTCTTTTCCTTAACTAGGTTTTTTCCACAGAATTTTTCTAGCAAAATTTTTAACGAGACATGAGTATGGTGAGATAATGGTCAATGGAGAGTGTTGTAAATATATATATATATATATATATATATATATATATATATTTATGTGGCCATTACCCTAGTTTTATACTCTTCATGATTAGATACAGTTTTTCATTTTTATTTGTATATGTATAGAGTTAATTCTTTTTTTTGGTTCTAGATTTATAGGTGACAATCCACTTTTAGTTGTTTTTCAAAACATCCATCTTTGGTCCTAGTATTATTGCGGCATGACCATTTTTTGTCATCCGTCAACAAAATCGTTGAAATATCGTTAAATAAAAGATCATTTTGATCATTTTTATACAAAGTAGGTTAATTCGCTATATTTTTATTTTTATTTTTTTTTTGAAAAAAATCATAATTGAAGACCTAAATGTCATTGTATTTTATGAAATTTAAACGGTTTTATTTATGGAGGACCAAAAATAGTCATGCTACAATAATACTATGACCAAATAATGATGATTTGAAAAAAAAAAAAAAAAACTAAAAGTGAAATGCCAACTATAAATCTAAAACATAAAATAGAATTAACTCTATATGTATATATATCATCCGTTATCTAATAAAGAGTAAGGACTAGAGTTTTTTTGAGTTCAACGTGTTCTTCTCTCCTAATTTTTCTCTTTACTTTATCTATTTATTGCTCTCTACCGATTGAAACTATGAAGTATCCACGCGAGGATACTATCACAACAGTTTCTGAATAATATTTATTTTTCTTTAAGAAATTAAGAAAATAAAAATGTATGTGAGACAAAAGACTAAAGAGCATGCAGGCTAGCTTAGGTTTAACGTAACCTAGTATGTACCTAACCAGAAACCAGCTTTAGCAGCTTTCAATTCGGATCCCTAGAAAGGTAAAGAAAATCTAGCAGCTTTTTATTCCAATTATTTGAGCTCTTTTAAACCACCCCTACCCCCACCCCCACACAATTTTAGAGTATAGTTTTATTGGGACTAAATTTGTTTTAAATAAATAGATTCTTGCGTTTTCTATATGGAGGTGTTTGACAAACGGTTGATAACTGATTGGTTTGTTAGTAATTAATGGCTGATTGTGTTAGATAGAAGGATGTTGAAGCTTAGAGACTTTACACACAAGAGGTTATATATCATCTATTCAAGAGGTTTCTTCTATGTGCGACTGAAAGTTTATTCTCCGAATCATCTTCTTCTCAATATATTCATATTGAAAGCTAAGGTGACTTATTGAGAAGACATTCTTCATAGTGCTACATTGTGGACTGTGTACTCCATACAACTGTGGCAATCATTAGTGTGGACCATATTTTGTCTAGTGTAAAATAATGTACATTCAATACAAAAATAATGTACATTCAGTTCAAAAATAATGTACATTGTATTCAGGGGATGTACATTATTTTTGTTCTGAGTGTACATTATATTGTATAATGTACATTTAGTACAAAAATAATGTACATTTAATATATTAAAAATGCACTTTTCACTACTGGAAATTATGAAATTTGCGACCACCTGAAAATGATCTTAAATCAAGTCGAAAGTCTTGTTTCGACCACTTTTGGTATCCGGAAAAACCTTTGTTGCTATCTCCGACCACTTTTTGGTATCAACTTGATTTAAGATCACTTTCGGGTGGTCGAAAATTCCATAATTTCCAGTAGTGTTTTGTTATGGTCCACACAATAATTTGCCCAACTATGGCGCAGTAGTTAGTTATGAGTCAATGAGACGAGCAACTACATCGTGGATCTCCAAACGTGGGACTCTTTGGATTGCTGATTGCATGGATCTCTGCCTCAACAATCCTCCGCTTCATCAGATTGGGTACTTACCTTGTGAGGTATAACACACATTGGGTTGAGATTGCAATCTCTTTACCATTTGTATGATTGACTGGCTGAGGTAGTGGATTTGACTCACTGATGAGGTCTCCAAACGTAGATACTGGGTAAACAATATCGTGTGTTTTTCATTTTGTTTGATTTAATTTTCCACACTAAGTCTTATCTCTAGTTCACTAACTGGTTGACCATACATATACCAGGTTAGTGATAAGACAGATACATAAACAAAGTAATACTGATTTATAATTAAGACACACTAAATACACGTATACAGAAATTTCAAAAAGTGCGAGTAACAATATATAAACAAAAAAAAAAAAGCATCCTTTATTATATTTTATTTTATCGATTCAACCAACTATAAAAATTTTTAGAATTCGAGTTGTGAGATGAGTAGTAATTTTCATATAAAATCATAATACATTGTTTTTTTTAAAAATATTTTATATATCGATATAAAAAATGTAAAAATTTTGTGTTAATCTGTGAGACGGGTGAGATCTTTGATTAATGAAGTCAAAGAGTTAACTTATTAATTAAAGATTTGACTCGTTAATTAAAGATGCAACCCTTGAGGCGGTCTCACACAAGTGTTACCCAATAAAATATTATTTCAATTTTTTTTTTTTTTTGAAAACATTATTTCAAAACTTAATGTGGCAAACATCGAAATAGTGTTTTTGATGCTTAAAATAGGAGACATACTAGGAACATTTTAGTAAACATGATAACCTCAAAGGCCTTATGTACGTGAGTACATTGTGCGTGCCAATGATCTAGATCGACACTAGAATTCTTAATTATGAATTCGATTTCGTATTGATCTAATTCTTGATCTAATCTCATTTTTTTCCCTATTGCATGTCAGGAAATTATTTTTCTTAAATAATATATTTTCCACATTTATTATTAGAAGAGACCATAATTCAATCCCCATATCCCTCTATCCTACAACCAAATGAAGAAGAAGAAAATACTAGTTAAATAACTTTTTTTACCAAATAATTTACAACAAAAAAATAAAAAAATAAAAAAAAAATAGGCGCATATAATACACACCCAAAAACTTTGTACGATAACCTTATATTTCTCAAAATGTCAAAGACACGGATGCAGAGGAAAAAAAAATACTAGTGGCCTGTTTGGTATTATTCTTAGTTTATTAGTCAATTTCGGTTTATTTGACTATTATTAATTATTTGACTTGGTTAAATAATTAATATGAGTATTTAATTAATTAATTTTTGTAACAATTTATTGCTTTAAAATGTTAAAATTAAAAAAGCAGTTCAAATTAATTTTTTTGATAAGCTTTTTGAGAAAGACATTTTGCATGTAATAAACTATTACTTAACAGCTCATTTACCAAACACTTTTCTACAATCAACTAATGTTATCAACTAGTGAAACTCACTAACCCAATCAATAATAGCTATCAACCAACAATCATTTACCAAACACCTCCACTGTATTATTATTCTTCCAAGGTTGAACCCCAACCCTAAGGGCCCCCACATTCCGACCGGACAGAGTATTTGAGAGGATGTAAATCATGGTAATCCACTGTATTATTATTAATTTCATAGATGACTGATAATTGAAAGCAAATATAAATTTAAATTTTTACACTACTTCTATCTGTTTTTTGAAGGGCACTACTTCTATCTTAAAACTTAAACAAACCACAAAACCCCCCGGGTCTCACCCACCCACGCATAAAGAATAAAGAATCAGATTATAATAATGTTATTATTATAAAAGAAACACAAGAAAGAAAGAATGGGCTGAGGAAATCAAACTAACATACAAGAAAATGAAAATAATATAATTCTCACATACCAAACATCAATGGATAGCAACAAACATTCCCAGGATTAATCTGTCTTAATATAATTTCGTTGAAAATGAAATCAACAAAAAATATATATATCTATATATAAATTCAGCATACCGGATATACATATAAATGTGTTCACTGTATATAGTGTATCTGATCTGATCTGTACGTACACCGGAAAATGTAATCATCATCATCACTATCTTCGCACTCTGACACAGGGCCTTAGCTTCGATCATCTATCAATATATATAATCCGATGATTCCTATGTACTAAGAACCGCGGCTGCTCTTTTGTAGATGATTATGGTTGTTGTCGGTTAGCGAGGAAGAAGAAAGATGATCCTTGGCATAGGGTGATGATGATGATTTCATGGGGGAGCTTATGAAATGAAGAGTCGGCGGGAGCAGTACTGGGTTTTGTATGAGCGAGGAAGTCGAGGTTGTTGTTGTGTTGAGCAAGTGGTGGAAATGGGCGGCGCCGGCGCCGGCCTCTGAGGCCGCCGCCATGTAGGGCGGCGGGAGGATAGAAGGAAAGTAGAGATTATTGGGATTATTATTATGGGAGTCGTGAAATTGTGCCAAAGACAAAGTGGAAGGCTCCCAATGGTTGTAGGAGGAAGGAAAAGGTTCGATCCATTTGTGAGGAAAGAAATTCTGAGGGACAACAACGTTGTTATTATTATTATAGGCAGCTGCTAAAGCTAAAGCTCCAGCTCCTCCGTCTTCTTCGATCCATTTCTGTTTCCCAATGGCTTTGACGTCGTGATGAGGAGGAGGAGGGGCGGCGGCGAGCGGCGGTTGAAGGAGGGGCGAGGGGTGGTCGAAGGCGGAGGAGAAAGAAGAAGGTGGGAAAGGGAGGGGTGGGAGTTTATCGATCTCGAGCTTAGTGGCATCGAGGAGCCAATCCACAACCTTGCTAGGCTGGGTGAGACCGAGGCGATCTTGGAGGTCATACAATTGAATCGCGGTCGGAACCGACAACCTAATCCTCCTGTCCCTCAACCCCCTTATCGTACACACCTTACTGTGCCGGTCTTTGCCACCAAAACTTCGAGAAACCCGCACGATTCTTGGGTTCTTGAACGCTCCCCCCCATTGCCTTGACGATGATGATGAACCCAATTTCCTCATCATCTCCTCTTCCTCCTTATTCTTCCCATCACAACCTTCTTCTTGCTTCGAAATATTCATCATCACTATCTCACTTTCTTCATCATCTCCATCTACAAAATTCACCACTTATATAGTTCAGATAACCACATCCAAAATGACGAGAAATTCACATACAGTTATAGTCACAGGGTTACAAGTTCGAATCCTTTTATCGATCTGTTCAAAGAAGGGAATTTTAATTTTACACTAGAAAACCTAGCTTCATTCAATTTTAGGTTACTCTGATCTACTCTAGATTTTGGAAATGAATTGAATTAGGGGCTGCGGGCACATCACATAAACTAAAATAGATTCAATAATAATGACCCTTATAAAAAAACCATTTCAACATAATTAAGAAAGTGCAGGATATGGACTTACATTAGGTTAATTCTACAGCAAATGATACACTTGATTCTTCTTCTTCTTCTTCTTCCTCTGATCTTCCAAGAACATCAAATATATATAGTGGTTTTATGAAATTAGGGTTGTTACGTTGATGCGGATTGGTGCAGAAAACAGTTTGATTTGATTATGTTGTGAAAACCTAGGTCGGCTAATTGATTGAAGTGAAAGCAGGGAAGAATAAGCAAGTTGGATGGGCAACTATGGTTTTAGGAAAGGAGAGGGGATATGATATGATGCTTTGGAATCTTATAATGCCATATTGCATAGAAAAGCTAAGCTAGCTGAGCTAGGGGTGAAGAAGGGATAGATAAAGGTAAGGCAAATTTGTGGACGTGTGGCATGGCATAATCACTACTTATTCACACGCCAAACTCAATACATATTATTGGCGGTAAGGATGTTACCAGGTATGTTACGTTTCTAAGTAAATAGGATTGTGTTGTTTCAGAATATAAGTTTTTAGAGCGTGTCTCCTCTATTTAAAGGGTCCAGTATTTATATTTATTAGTACAACAACTCTTATATTCAGTGTTGTAAGAGTCGATCTAGGCAGTCGTCTAGGCGCTAAGTGCCCCTAGATCAAGGCGATTTCAGCTCTAGACGGCTTTTAGGCAACCGGGCAACTAACAGGCCAACAAGGCGTCCAAGGTGCCGAGTTGGGCGTCTAACTTGGTTGAGTTGGTGCCCAACTTGGCCGAGTGGTTTTTTTTGCCTGCTTGGCTACTCCGCTTCTATATTCTTCTAGTCATGTACTTAACTAACCATCTAACATAATCAATTGACTAGTTTGGAAATTTATAACAATCTAACAACTCCCAGCCCCAAGTGGAAAAAGTAAAGACAATATACTCGGATTACTCGGCCACCTAGGTACTAGGCGCACGATTAGCGCCTTCTACAATATTGCTTATATTATAATGGAACCTGCAATAACTAGCATAACGCTCTTCTCATTAAGTGCCTCACCCTTGCTCTTTTAATGAGGTATATGTAGTGCTCCGTAATAAGTATCATGTTTCGTTTTAAGCGTGCGATCGTCACTTGGTCCTAAGTTCTTTAGGTCGGATCTATCACTTATCCAATTATCCCGACACATATGTATGTTGATATTTAGTTAACGTTCTCTAGCTCTATTGTTCTAGCCATCACGAGTCTCATTTCTACGAATAATCTTTTACAAAATCAAAGCTTAGTAACTAAGGTAAAGAACTTTTTTTTTTTTTTTTTTTTTTTTTTTTTTTTTTTTTTTTTTGTCAAGACCCTACAATGATGTGGACAGTACTCTGAAAACTTCTTTTTTTCATACTCCATTTATAATAAGTTGATCATATCAGCTGGTCAGTTTGGGAGTTTAACATTTTGATTTTTGATACTCATGCATAAATGAGCTAAACACATATTTAAGGTAGACCGTTAACCTGAAATGGACCATTCTATAAGATTAGGTAAAAAGAAAAGGTTACCGCTGCTGCTTTTAATTAATTTATGCTTAGTAGAAAACCCAATATAGAAAATTTGTTGCATAATGTCAACCCGGTCATATGGCCAAAAACAGGACTAATAAATGATAAAATGAGTAAATACTCTCTCCATGCCATTTTATATGTACAATTTGTAAGGTCGGATCGTTAGTGGATCCTTTAGTAGACTGCGTATTCGTTCAAGTTGGGGGCTCGAGTTGTAGAGTAATTAAAGTCAGAGGTTCCCGAGCTAAACAGTATTAGGTAGAGATGCCAAAAGTCTCTCCTCCAAGCATTTATTGCATTGTTTATAGGAGGTTAAAGGGAACACATGCCGGTCCCCCCGACATGTGTAACATGTGGAGCCCATGCATAAGGGAAGGTCGGAGACCTTGTTGATTCCACCACGTGTATTGAGATTCCTGACTCCCTCATTCTTGTAGTGACCGGGTTTGGGCAAAGAAACAAGGCTTGAGTCTCCAAGTAAAGAGGGCCAGGTACGTAGTCATCCTGACCTAAGCTAATCAGGGCGAACTAAAAGACAGCTAGGTACTGCTGCTGATCGGGCACTGCTCAGTCCTACATATCAGGTCGGACCGGTGGACTTTGAGGTCGGTAATGCTCAGGAATGATCATCTCATTGAATTGACCGGATACCGAGTATGTATATGGCACGTAAGCATGAGGTATACCCTGGGAATATTCCCTATGCCAAAAGTTATAATTAATAGCCTTTTGAAGTTTACAAGCCTTAAATTTTTTCTCGCAAATTTGTTATTACTTAATTTCATCATCTTCTTCTTCTTCTTCTTCTTCTTTTTTTAAAAAAAAAAATAATAATAATAAAATAAAATAATATACTAATATATGTGTTACATTCCACATGTGAATCTTGATTGGACCCCATCAAAATCGGAGATAGCTCGAGCATTTGAATAGTTTTGACATTATAAATGGTTAGTAACTCAAGATTAAAATCCAGTGTGTGATAATTATTTTAATTAATTAATAGAGTAATTGTAGCAAGTGGATCCCAAAGGTGTGGTGCATTTTTGTTCATGGAGTTTGAATAGTAGGTGCTTGCTGGATGAGATTATTGATAGTAGCAGCTACTCCCTCATAGAGGAGGGACCAATTACAATATAGGCTTCATAAAAGCCTCTCACTTTGTACAAATTAAAGAGAGGACCACATATATATTATTTTGCAGTGAGATATATTGCATCAGTGATAGATTCTGAATTGAAAAATTCCCCTGGCCTGGCCTTCTTTTAAAGGTTAAACAAGACTTGGGTTTTTACTAAAAACAAACAAATCCATTAACTAAGGGTATGTTGGGAAACTGTAAAATATTTTTCGAAAAATGATTTTTAAAAAATGATTCATTTTTTAGAAAATATTTTAATTTTTTTTTTTGTGGGTTTGGATGAAGGTCAAAAAATTATGTTTTTGTGGTGGATGTGGTCTGGTGGTGACCTGGTAGTAATGGTAGTGGTGGTGGTGGTGTGGTAGTGGTTGTAGTTGTGGTGGTGGTGGTGGTGGTGGATGTAGTGTGGTGGTGGTGGTTATAGTGATGGTGGTGCTGGTGGGGGATGTGGTGTGGTGGCGGTCATTATTGTGTGGTGATGGTGGTGGTGTCGTGGTGGTGGTTGTGATAATAATAATTAATAATCCGAAAACTAATTTAGAAAAGAAGAGACTAAAGAGAGAGATGGAAAAAAAAAATCTAGAAAATGTCTTCCGACTAAAAAATTAGGAAGACATTTTCTACCAAATTGGTCCTTTTTTAAGTTGACCAGAAATAATATTTTCCTTGAGTACCCAAACACTGGAAAATTCAAAAATGACTTTTGAAAGTCATTTTCCGGGTTTCTAAGCAGAGCCTGAATATTGTTGTAAGCTGTTATTAGTACCATATGGTTATGAAAATTAAATCATCATATTTGCATCCAAAATGGGAACTTTTTTTTTCTTTATAAAAGGGAATTAACTTATATAAAAAAAAAATAGAGAAAATTGTTTTTTGGTCTTCCCGTTATACCTGTGGTACAGACATAATCCCTGAATTATATGCTTGACCATCTTTAATTAACCCTAAGTTAAGCATGGAGTGGCGATTTTAGTTCTTGAATGACCAAATCAACCACTTTATTACGTGACAAATTGGTGGTATGTAGAAACAGTCCTGAGGAACTAAAATTGTCACTCTGTGCATAACTTGGGAGTTAAAGATGGTCAGACGACATATAACTCAGGCACTAAATTTGTACCACGGATATAACTAAAGAACCAAAAATGTAATTTTCACTAAAAAAAATATTGTTTAAAATTTGAAGAATAAAAAAATCCCGAACTCTAGGGACGGTAACAGAGCGGGACAAGACTAAAACGAGAAGCATATATATTCTCTGTCCCCGTCCTTGAAACTCAACCCGAGCCCCTAGCTAGCCCCAACGGGGATAAGAAATATTTTTTCCATTCTCATCTCGTCTGATTTTCGAGGAGGGCAATCCCCATCATCGATCAACCTCTTATTTCAGCGGTTAGCTGACTAAAAAATGTATTATCCGTAATTTTCAACAGAGAGTTAGCAGCGGTCTGAAGCAAATTGTGAAAATTAAAGATAGTAATAGAGTTCTTCAAAGATTTTATGAACTAGAAAGGTACTAGCTCCGTACAAGCTAGGATTTTAGAAAAACAGAGAAACAAAGTCAACTTAACCACCAAAACTTCTTCGATTAATTGCCATGCATTACATTGACACCCCACATATATTTCTATAAAACTTTCTTTAAAACTAATAACCTGCCAGAAATAGTCGTACAACTTAAATAATTTTCTTTATGTTACTCTGATTAAATAAAATAAATTAAAAAAGAAAAAGGAGGAGATTGATTACTTTGGATGATTACAAAGCAAGGGTGATGAGTGTTGTTTATCTCTTACATTGATGAACGTGTACCTTAAAGAACTGGGAAGAGAAGAATGTTTAGGAAAAAATACACGGTAAAGAAATGAGAGGAGAAAAGTTTTTAGAAGAAAAAAATTAGATATTACGAAAAAATTAGATATTAGGATTTTGATTTTAAAAAGGGTAAATGGTGTCATTTTTGTAAATTAATAACGATAAAAAAAATGAAGAAAATGTTAAAAACCTATAGCTTATTTTGAAACGCTTTTCAAAATAAGCTATTATTTTAAGCTTTCCAGATTTTACCAAACAAAGCTAGGACTTATTTGTAGCTTAAAATAAGTTAGAAGCCTCTAAAAAAAAAAAAAGAAGCTAAACTCTACCAATCAAAGGCTATGTAATATTATGACACTTTTGTTACCATTCTAAATGGGTGGTCACAGAATCGAACCCCATCCGGTGGTAGGGTTTTGGATTCTTTGGATTGAAAATGATTGGAAAATATAGAACAGATACTACCTTGTAAAGAGCCATGAGTATTCCAAAAAATGGTTTTCATTCTTTAATCATCGTATCTATACATAAAGAAATTAAAGAACTGCCTAACATTTGAGGATTTTGCAACCCTAGCCTATAATCAAAAGCTCTAGGGCGTAGTAGTTAGTTTCTCATATGAGGAAATTAAGGAATCACCTAATATTTACGGATTTTGAAGCCTTATAAAAACTCAAATGAGTAGTTAAATTAGTTCCCCCAAATCTAAAATTCAACGGTGTAGATCCAACTTAAACCTTAATATGCACCTAGAGAGTGCATTATTGTGGCACCTTAGCTTGATGAGGTTTTAATTATTACTTCAAATTGAGTGGTGCTCATACAGAGAGGGCCCATACATGTGAACGTAATATTATCATGGATCGCGTATAAA